TCACTGTAGGTCCTTGAAACAAATGCCCCTCTAAAGCCAAAGACTTGGTAGGATCAAAGGAAAGCAAACCTGAACTCTTGAATTTTATTTTTTTAAAGATTTTATTTATTTATCTGAGATAGAGAATGAGTGGGGAGAGGACAGAGGGAGAGGGAGAAGCAGGCTCCGCCTTGAGCAGGGAGCCCAATGTGGGGTTGGATCCCAGGACCCTGGGATCATGACCTGAGCTGAAGGCAGATGCTTAACCCACTGAGCCACCCAAGTGCCCCCTGAACTCTTGAATTTTAGAGAAGAGTTCTACTACAGAATCCAGTTGTTCCAGCCTTGAATTTTACGATTTCACTGAGGTTAATCAGAGATCATTTTTTTAAAGATTTTATTTATTTGAGAGAGAAAGCATGAGTGGGAGGGAGGGGCAGAGGGAGAGGGAGAAGCAGACTCCCCAATGAGCAGGGAGCGTAAGGGGACTTGATCCAAGGACCCTGAGATCATGACCTGAGCCAATCAGAAATTTTTAAGGAGGGGCACCTGGTGGCTCAGTCAGTTAGGTGCCTGCTCTTGGTTTCTGCTCCAGTCATGATTTCAGGGTCAAGGGATGGAGCCCAGAGCTGGCTCTGTGCTCAGCAGGGAGTCTGCTTAAGGTTCTCTCCCTCTCCCTTTGCCCCTCCCCCACACTCACACACACTCTCAAATAAATAAAATCTTTTTAAAAAATCATTTTGAGGAGACTTAATGTTTATTTTCAAAAAAAATTTCTCAATCCTATTTTTGATTTGATAGAACAAGGCACAATGGGGCGCCTGGGTGGCTCAGTTGGTTAAGCGACTGCCTTCGGCTCAGGTCATGATCCTGGAGTCCCAGGATCGAGTCCCGCATCGGGCTCCCTGCTCAGCGGGGAGTCTGCTTCTCCCTCTGACCCTCTTCCCTCTCGTGCTATCTCTCATTCTCTCTCTCTCAAATAAATAAATAAAATCTTTAAAAAAAAAAAGAACAAGGCACAATGTATGTTAGTCTGTTTATTTGTGATGACATTACCAAATAATTTTTTCTTTACTGCGAAATAAGTATTATTACCATTTTACAGATGAGGAAATTATGGTTACAGACAGGTGAAATAACTTAGGGAGTCAGAAAGAATAGCGAGAGAACAAAGATGGGATTTAGAGACAAAATGACCAGGGTTTAAATATAGTACAGCCACCTACTAGCTTTGAGCAAGTTCCTTCATCCAAGCCTTTCATCTGTGAAATGAAGATACTACCACCTACTTCTCAAATAGCTGATGTAAGGTATAAGCAAAACACCTAAACACCTCGCAGAAAGCATAGTAGAGTTGGCCATTCAAGAAACATCAGCTCTCCCACCAATCCACAATCTTTCCGTTGGGGCATCTTACTTTCTTCAGCTGGTACAATGGGTGTATAATGAATCCATATGCTGTTGTGCGTTTAGTGAGAAAATAGCACAGGCGGGGCACCTGGCAAGTACAGGGCTCAATACATTTGTTCTCTCCCCCAATATTCCCTCCCTTACCCTAGGTCCCACAGTTACTGAATGGCTGAGGCGCTATAGAACGGTTTCTGTACACAGGCATTTTACTTCTGGTAATATCTCCTTTAACTGCAAAAACAAATTTAAGCTAGCTGCTTGGTCAGTTGTTATTTTAATGTGTTCCCAGTAAAATCAAATTCATTTCTGGGGCAGCTTTACTTTTCAGTAATCAGAAAAAAGTGATTAATATTTCTGACTTGAAAATATGTATTTTTGGTACGTATTTCTACTGGCACTTCTGTAATATATATTCTTAATATTTTATAAACTATTATAACTCAAAAGATAGTTAAAAATCTATTACTTAGGATATTACATGTTTAAGCACTTAAATGATTCCATTTGATATATTGAGTTCAAAGATATTAGGTAGCCTTTTCATTTTTCCTATTTGCTCCCAAATAAAATAACAAAGTAGGGTAATAAATGTGGTAGATAAATGTAGATATTCATAAATGAAACAGATGTGTGAAAAATATGGACCAGATCTGCATTTATGAGGCAATGACCTTCAAAACTGGCAGGGAGCTGTTAACAATGTTCTTCACAGGGAGCAATTATATTATAACCCTCCTATGTATACTTTCATTTCTCATGATCTACAAATACATTTGCATATCAGAAAGAATAAAAGAATAGTCTGGTAACTGTGGCAACCTTCATTGAGAGGATATAAGGCATTTTCCTTACCTTAATAATCACATTCTAAATGCCAGAGCGGTATAACTGGTGCAATATGAAAGACAAGACCAATACTTTGACAGAATTTCCTACAACTGAAATTTACTAAATGTGGCTATTATGGCTCTAACCCAGTGATACATTTCTGACTCTCTAATCCCCTAAGTGTTCTCTGATTATCTCAAGTACTGAAATCTTTCTAAAATATATACCTTATTTAAAGAAAAATATGGCAAACAGTACTTTAAGGAAAATGATTCCAAATTACCACCAAAAATTTTTAAAAATATACTGTAGAGCAATTCCTAAAATGTTAGGAATATTGCTTTAACCTAGCAAGTAGCTCAAGTTTCTTTCCATACTGATTTAAAAGACTCTATGTCCAATGTTTGACAAATAAGCGCATGCACAAACACAAACACACACACACACTACAGAAATGTACAAGAGGGAGAAAGTTGCTAAGAAAAGCTCAATCTCTAAAAGCTCAAAAAAGCTATCAGCACAAAATATTAATTTCACATAAAATCCTTTTTTTTTTTAACCTTTCCTCACATTGGGTAAAAACAAAAGCAATCCACAGTAGTGGTGCCAAAGACTGACAATATTACATAAACTTCAGAATTCCTGTGTTTTTTAATTTTCACTAAAGAATCACAATGCACTATCATTAACATGTCTAGACAGTGGACACTCACTACAGTATAGGCATGTTACACCAAGCTTATTTTTCTTATGTGGCCTAAATTTTTATAACACATTAAATTGTAATAATGTAAAATAAGACCAGCAGGAAAATAAACACAACCATAGCAAGATATAACAAGCATAAACCCGGGAAGTCCTGCTTGACTGAAAAATATTATTTTTCTCAATGGTAATAAAAATTACCCACAACTATAATACCAATCAACCAACTTCAGACGTTCCACCAACTGGGAAAAATAACTAGTTGTCTTATTGTGATACCTTAAAATCACCAAGATTGCCACTAGTGGAGTGGTGATGTGAATTGCGTTTCATTTGTACTCTATGCCTTGGCAAAAGTTAATGATCTGCCCCAGAAATTTTATTTCACTATATACCCCAAAGTATTTTTAGGACTCACAAAGTCTAAATCTCACACTGCCGTTGATATGCTATCATGTAAATGCTTTAAATTTTAAAACGAAAGACTAAAAACTTTAAAAGCTCTAGACAATGTATTCAAATGGTGAATATGTCAAGTCAATGCCTTCTCCTCCCCCACCGAAAAACAAAAAAGAACTGTACACGACACATAAAGATACAATAGAAACAAAAAGTAGCATGCCACTCATTCAGTAAGGAAAGAATAACAGAATATCTATCATATTCAACTACAAAAATCCTTTCATTTGATGGCTAGCGTCTTTACGACTGTTTAATCTGTATTTAAGTGGCCTTAAAAAAGAGATTTTGTTCCCTTTCTCTGCCCTCCTGGATCTTTGGCGGCAGTCCGCACTTATACCCAGAGCTGGTTTGGGGAGTGGGAGAAAAGGGAAAGTGGAGAGAAGGCTGAAATGAGCACGGAGTCAGCAGAGGGCAGCCGCTCTCATCCACTACCCAGCGTCTTTCTCACACACCGCTGTTTTCCGCTATTGAGCATTGTCAGCAAAAAAATAAATAGGGGGTGCGGGGGACGGGAGACAAAGAGGGTAGGACCAGAGGCCGACAGTTTTTGTCTGCCACATCTGAGGCGAGAAGCCCCTTCTGGTTTCTTGCTGCAAAGGCAAGGGATCAGGTGAGACCCCTCCGGGTCCAACTCTATTTGCTTCTCCAGAAAGAGCAGTTTCCGGCAGCGAGCGCAGGATCCTTCGGGAGCTGAACTGAACACCGGAGCATTGTCAATGTTCCTATCTCTGACTTTACAGAGGACGAGAGAGGACTGTGACTGCATTCCTGGGAAAGACTACTACTCCAGACGTGCCACACGGCAGTAGTGAAAAAACATAAGCAAGAGGTTGTAAAAATCCCTTCCAAAATACCAGGTTCTGAAGAAATGCTGCGAAGCATTAACGTATTGTTGGCGTTTTTTGTAAGTCACCGATTCTTTCTCGCCACGGTCAACCCTCAAATCTCTGGTACTTGTTGCTAAATCTTTACCTCACGCCCCCCTCAAAACTGCCCAACACAATGAGATCTGGGGAACGAAAGGCGGGAGGGGGGCCTAATCTCAGGAACCCAGAGGGCTGGTCTCCCTTCCATAGGCCACTCTGCATGGGCTGCGCGTTCACTTTTACCTTCTGAGAGCTCTGACTCACAAATGCCGGGGTGGGGAGGTGGGGGGGCGGGTGATTATGACATACAGCATTATCTCCTAACCAAAGATAGATAAGAAACGCCGTCCAGCGGTCCTTGCCTGGTCAGAGAGCCAAAGCCTGCGCCCCCCGACGGGGCGGCCGGGATAGGAGCCTCCCGCCCTGCCCGCCTCCCTCCGGACGCCCGCGAAGATGCTCCCCACCCCGGCAGGCTCGAGGAGCCAGGATGGGGCGCCCTCACCCTGGGAGAGGGCAGGGAGCGAGCTGAGGGTCCGGGACGGAGGGACTCTCACGGCAGCTGCGCCGAGCGCCCGGTACCCCGCCCCGGACCGGGTCTCGGGCGGAGGCGCTCTGCACCCGGGCCGGCCGCCGCAGCCAGGGACGGACAAAGCACTGGGGTCTGCAGCGACCCCGGGAGACGGCCGCGGGCCAAGTTAGCCAGACTCGGGGGCCGCGGGGGTCCCGCGGGCAGGGTGGCGCGGCACTGACCTGGATGGTGCAGGTGTACTCGCTGTCGTCCAGCAGCCGCACGGTGCAGCTGTACTCGCGCTCCAGGCTCCTGCTGCTGCCGCTCATCAACCTGCTCAGCATCTTCCCGCCCGCCCGCCCGCCCGCCGCCGGGAAAGACGCGGCGGCGCTGCGGACCCGGGACCAGGCGCCCCTCAGCCGGGCAGCTCCGCGCGGGCCCCGGGCACCTGCACCATCACCCCAGCCCGGTCGCGGCCGCTGCCTCCTGCTGGTCCAGCTCCTCCTTCTTCTCCTCCTCCTTCTCCGCCACCGCCTCCCCCCAGCCCAGAGCTGGCGCCCCGCTCTCTCTCCTCGGCGCCCTACTCCCCATGCCCAGCTCGTGGGGCGGGGCCTCGGCCCGAGAGGGGCCAATGGGGGTCAGCGCGGCGGAACCGAGTGGCAGACGGTTGAGCCAATAGAAATAGGGCACTGGGATGATGGACAGGTGATGAAAGCAATCACGGGAAAGCAGTCTTACAGAGCCTAGCGGGACCGGCCCTCTGGCGTCCCAAACGAGGGGCTCCTCTCCTCTCTGCGGTTCCTCTAGAAGCTGTTTCCCCTCCCCCGGGCCAGGTGTGGGCACCCGGCCAGATAAATGTCTGCTGCGTGGAATACGTTTAGACTCGGGCTTCAGGGGTCAAGTCCCACACTCTGCAACGCCGCGAGTCCCGCCCTCTCGGGAGCCGGGGCGGTGCGAGATAACAATCACCGCACCTGCAGAATGCAGGCACCTTCCGCTCGGGACCAGGCGGCTGCCCCCACCTGAGCTGTACCCCAAGTCGGCCCGACGGGCCTGTCTGCTCCAGCTCTCTTATTTCGGAGAACATCTGTTTTACAGGAGCTACTTAAGTAAAAGCTGTAGGGTTCGCAAGGGTTTTTAAGCACCCGGGTTTAACCCCTGGGAAACCCTCCACTCTAACATCCTATGCCTCCCTTTTATTTTCAGAAGACAAAAGGAAGAGACTGAGGTGTGCTCCTTCAGCCGGTAGGGTGCAGAGGCAGTGATGGGTCCTTTCCTTGCTCCTTCAGAACTAGAATTACCATATCTTCAGACTTCCTCAACAAAACACGGGAGTATGTCAGGAGGTATATATCGCAAAGAAAAAAAAAATTGTCTCCTGCCCTTTGTGACCCCACATTCTAAAGACCTCATGTTCTTTACGAAAACTTCACCAAGCATAATATTCTTCCTCAAAATTTTTTGATGGAAATGTTATATAAAAGAATCATATCAACACATTAATGCTGTAATAAATGTATTAACTGAAAAATAATGAAATATCCATAATTTCGTATTTTCATTTATATTAGTCTTGTTTATAGGATAACAAACACATAACAAAATGGAAACCCTACATTAACTTAGAAAACATCTGACCTTTAAAGTAGGTCCCGGGGGAGGGGGGGGTCCCCAGGCTGTCTCAGTCCATAGAACATGTGACCCTTGATGGGGTGAGGGGGTCGTGAGCTTGAGCCCTACGTTGGGCTTAAAACCTACTTAAAAAAATAAAGTATGCTTCTTCCTTAGTATCCTTGGATTCCAGTATTTCTCCTCAATTTTTTGCATGGGACCCTCCCCCTCTTCAGTAATCACCTCAGTAACCTGGATTGCTCTCCTTCTTAGTTGCAATCTCCTTTGTGGCATTCAGTAGTTATAAGAGGAGGTCTGACTTTTCAAGGTAATCCTGGAGGAGTTAAGAAACTAGAACAGTGAGTCAGATATTCTAGGCTTCAAACCAAATGTGAGTTCCTCTACTATGTAGCCCCAGTAGGCAGCCTGGGTGTGCAACATAGTAGGTATTCAATAAGTGTTTGTTGCATGAAGTAAATTAGGCAAATATTTTATAGTGTCTAAGTCCCAGGGAGATCTATGAAGAAACTAAGAATTTCAGGAAGGCCTTGGACACATGAAATTATTAATATGCCAAAGTGATATTCTACAAAGTTCAGCTTTGTTGTGTAGTTGGGAGAAGATAATGAAAGATTTCAGGCAAGCAGAACTTATGTTGAAGGCAAAAGTTGCTATTTGTTTACAGAATCCACAAGAGCAAGAAAAAGTGTCCAAGAAGCTAGAGGAAGCCCAGTAGTTTGACGGTAGGGAAATGTCTTTAACAGGTTATGCAAATAAGCAGCTGTTAGAATAAAAAGGCAAACACCATGAATCCAGAAAAGCTCTAAGGAACTGAATGCAGTCTTTTTTTCAGAGTATGACCAGAGATGCAATCAACAGGGATGAGATTGTGGCTGTTATACCAACGTGTTAAGTAATATTCCTGTTCAACCTAAGAAAATCATGTCAAGGGTGCCTGGGTGGCTCAGTTGGTTAAGCGACTGCCTTTGGCTCAGGTCATGATCCTGCAGTCCCTGGATCGAATCCCGCATCGGGCTCCCTGCTCAGCAGGGAGTCTGCTTCTCCCTCTGACCCTCCCCCCTCTCATGTGCTCTCTCTCTCTCTCTCACTCTCTCTCAAATAAATAAATAAAATCTTTAAAAAAAAGAAAAGAAAATCATGTCAACCTAGATGCTCACCACATTGAAAAACCAGTTAGATATTCACCCATGCTTATACATAATATCCAGAAAGAGCTTCATACTCTCCCTTACTCGCTTAATCAGAACACTTTGTGAGGAAAACAGAGGTTGGATGCATAAGGGAAGAAAAGCACCTATCAGTTTCTGGTTAAATGTACACCTATACGGAGATCAAGAGCAGAAGCCTGAGGGAAACTAAAAAGAACAGACTCATATAAAATCAAACTGAGGAATATTTTGTTTTTCTTTGTTTTTCTCAAGTCTATTGAGCAGGATGTCCAGTATAATAAGGCTTTGTTCAATAAAAGGCCTCATGTGCCCTTGTTAATCAGATATTCATGCTTTCATGAATTTTTTAGTGTAAAGGAGGCCATATTTAAAACTCCAAACTACAATGACTGAGCTCCCACCTTCCAAATTATTAGGATATCAGCCCCCTTTAAAGTTTCTCTCCCTGGGGTGCCTGGGTGGCTCAGTCGGTTAAGTGTCTGCCTTCAGCTCAGGTCATGATCCCAGGGTCCCAGGATGGAGTCCCACATCAGGCTCTCTGCTCAGCCAGGAGCCTGCTTCTGCCTCTCTCTCTGCCCCCCCCCACTTGTGATCTCTCTCTCTCTCTCTCTCCCTGTCAAATAAATAAAATCTTAAAAAAATTATAAAGTTTCTCTCCCTTCTTTCCTGTTGAGGAGTCCCTAGGGCAAATGCTATCACCAACATATGCCTGAAATAACTGAATTACTCCTGCCTCTACTTCCGATGTCCCATACCCTGATATTCTGGGACACTGATCTCTCTCCAGCCAATGCAACTTTCACCAATATCTTGGGACCTGGCAGGAAAAAGCATTGCCCTCTCTTCTCCAGGACATCACAAATGCAGGTTCTTCCCATCAAAGTCTCCTTACAGCACAACTAAGACCAGGGTTATATAACAATGTTAGAAAGGAAGAATAATCCAGAGTAACCTGCAGTTACGACATGGCTACTCTCAAAGCCCTCATGGGCTTTATTGTTGAGCTTGCAGCCAGGGTCCATGTGGCTGATGACAGCTTCCTTCTCCATCAAGCGTTCCCCCGACCATGTCTTGGGCATTCAGGCTCAACCACAGAGAGAAGAAGCTCAGAGAAGAAAACAACTCTCCTTACCCAATTTAAAGTCCATTTTCAAAGTCCCATTTTCTGTCCAAGTTGCTGCCTTTCACTAGGATGACTAACCTGGGATTATCTACTCCTTTAGAGGAGACCCCACCTCCCATAGCCAGGGGTATGACCTTGACCTTTGACCCAACTGAGCCATTGCCTTAAGAGCATAACTGTCCAACATCAGCACATTTCTCACAAAGACTGAGTCATTCAGTCTTTACAGGTAGGTCCGGGTAGAGCTTCACCAAAACCAGTCCAGCACCTTTGCATAATTATTTCTCCAGTAAGTAGTAATGATCATGCCTGTCCTTGTTTGCCTATATCTTTTAGATCTCAGCTTTAGTACTCCCCAGAGCAAGGGCTCAAAGGAAGACATTCACATCTTCACAGAAACAATATATTGACACATATGTAGTCTTCATCTACAGAGAGAAAAGAAACAGTTTTTCTCTTCTCTCATGCAGCAATATCTGCGGAAGCAAAGCTCCAGCTCCACACACACAGATTTGCATATCCAAATGGAGCACCCGGCTTCACAAACTAAAAGCATCTATACTCAAGTTATAGTTTTCCAAGAATAATAAACGTATACTTGCTTTAATAGGAGAGGTTAAACAATTTATGTAGTTTTTCCAAAGCAGTCTACCTCTGAAGAAATGTTCAAGTCTTTTTTTTTTTAATCAGGACAGAATTCACCTATGGTTTAACTGACAGCTTTTCCATCTTCTACCAACTCTTAGGATTTTCAGTTTAGCCCCATTATACTTAGAAGAATTTTTTAATGTGTATTTTTATGTGGAAATATAAGTGCCTGTGTTTTTTTATTCCAAACTACATTTATTGAGCATTTACTATGTCTTAGGCACATACTCTGTGTCAGCTTTCTAGAAAACATAAGACATAGCCGAAAGAATATGGGAAAACGAAATGTACAAACCAAGAAGTTCACAATCTAGGAGAGAGGGTTAGGTATATAAACAATTAGCTATCATACCATACATGGAGCATGAGCAAAGCACTACAAGAGAACAACAAATGGTAAATTATTTAAGCATGGGAGACAGCAAAGTCTTACAGAGAAAGCATTTTAGTTGGGTCCCTAGAAACGGACTAGTATGGTGATGGCTGCAGAGAGCAGAAGAGCAAGGTATGGGATGAGGGGTCACATTTTAAATAGAGGAAACATGAGCAAAGGCATAGAAGCACAAATATGTATAGCATGTTTCAGAAATTGCAAGTACCCCTGGATGGATAGCATGTGGGATGCATTGGCTAGGAAAAAGTGGACTGAGGCCAGAACATCTAGGACCTTCCGTGCCATAGTTAGGAATTTGGACTCTGTTGTATAGACTGTGGGGGGGGGGTGGCATTGCAGGTTTTTAAGCAGAAAAATGACAGGATCAGATCTGTGTTTGGAACTGATCATTTTGATAGCAGTGTCAATGATTATATTACAGAAAGAGGAGATTATTTACTAGGGGGGAAAGGCATTCTGAAAACAATAGAATGTCCTTAACGAGGCATCAGAAGCATTTTTAATAGGTCTCTCAGATATGGGTGACAGGTTTTATTATATTTTCCAATTACGGTTCA